AACAAGAGCAAAATTCCCTCTCAAAAAAACCAAAACCAAAACCAAAAACAAAACCCTGTTACACCAAACCTACACAACAAATATACAAGTGACACAAAACTACAGGGGTAATATTTATACAGGCAAAGAAACATAGAAATAATTACACTGGCAATAGACAGATGGTTTTTCATATTTAATTTTGCTCTACACTGTCTTAAATTGTACAGTTAAATATTCTTATATACAATTATAATATAAACTAAAAATATATTGTTATATACAATTATAATATAAACTAAAAAATCAACACATAATTAACTGGTGTGATGTGACATACCCAAAAATATATAACACAAAATATTAAATTACAAAAAAATTAAAACATGGGATGTAAAACAAGTAGATCCATGTATTCATGAAAGGAATCTTAGAATATAAGGTAAAGTAAATACAAAGATTACTTGAAGATTTTAAAAAAAGGTGAGAACTTCCCAAATTTTAATGTAACAACAACAAAAACTTCTAACCAGTAATACTTGATTCAAAATTATTTTACTTCAAAAAGAGTATAAAGACTTTCCAAAATAAAAGTTGGGTGTTCATCACCATTAGCACAATCCTACAAGATATACCATACGGGGTTGTGCGCCCTGGCTCACGCCTGTAATCCCAACACTTTGGGAGGCTGAGGCGGGTGGATTGTCAGAGGTCAGGAGTTCAAGACCAGCCTGAATAACATGGTGAAACACCGTCTGTACTAAAAGTGTAAAAGTTATTCGGACATGGTGGCGCATTCCTGTTGTCCCAGCTACTGAGGAGGACAAGGCAGGAGAATTTCTTGAATCAAGGAGGTGGAGGTTGCAGTGAGCCAAAATCCTGCCATGGTACTCCAGCCTGTGTGATAGAGAAAGACTCCATCTCACAAAAAAAGGCCAGGTGCAATGGTGCCCACTGCACTCCACTACTGCACTCCATCCTGAGCAACAGAGTGACACTCAGTCTCAAAAAACAAAACAAAAACAAAAACAAAACAAAACAAAATCAAAATGATTGTTCATAAAACCTTTAAAGTTCTTTTATAGAATATAAAAAACGTAAGTAAATGTGCATAAATCAGCCGGGCACAGTGGCTCATGCCTGTAATACCAGTGCTTTGGAAGGCCAAGGAGGGTGAATCATAAGGCCAGGACTTTGAGACCAGCCTGG